AAAAGATCAACTAGCAATAGTGGTGAGGAGTGACAGGGAAATGGTCAGTATCACTGGTACCTTCAAGATGTAGGGAAAAAAATGAGGAAGGCCTCCAGAATATTGGATGGACCCCCTATGGTGACCTTTTGGGAGAAGATGGACAAGAGTCAAATAGGACAGTCAGGCATGGATTGGTTATGATCTGAACCATTGAAAAGAACTCCTGAAACCAAGGAGATCTCAGATCCATTTGAAAACTGGAATTCTGAAGGCACAGTGCCTTGTACAGAGTAGGAGCTTAAAATAGAATTGAATGCAAAGGTTGTAGGTTGAACTAAATTTAGCAGCTAAATATTTTTTTGGGAGGGCAAGGGAGCTAGGTGATAAAGTGGATAGAGCACCAGGTCTAGCATCAGGAAGACTTGAGTTTAAATCTAGCCTCAGACAGCTTCCTAGCTGTATGACCCTGGGCAAGTCACTTCATCCTGTTTGCCTCAGTTTCCTCACCTGTAAAATGAGCTGGAAAAAGGAAATGACAAACCACTCCAGTATCTTTGCCAAGAAAACCCCAAATGGGGTCACAGAGATTCAGACACAACTGAACAGCCCCTGCCATGGTTATGAACTAAAGGTTTCTACCTTCAGAACCAGAGAACTTTTCAAGACACTGTTGCCCTTGTACAATGGAGAGTACAATTTTTTCTGACGTCGATACTTCCCACTTTAAGCACTTTGCCCTAAATAACTGCCTGTGTTGCTCGTTGATCGCATTGCCTCCCTCTAGTATTGATTCAGGTGCATACATGTGCACAGGGGTGGAAGGCAAAGAGGAAGAATACCTAGTATAGTTTATATTATCCCAGAACCAGTGGGGATCTGTGTCTCTAACTTTGAGATACAACACTGCACTGGTCTGGCAGCACTCCATCTGGTTAGGAAGAGGGCATAGCATAGATGAAGAGTGAGAGAACAGAAACAGATGTACAGGAAAGGAGGTGGTACTGAGACCCCAGACAGAGTCCTGAAAAGAAAGTTGCCCTGACATCAGGAGACGTGGGAAGAGGCATCCTCTTTATGGAGTCAGGGGGTGAGGCTCCCTTAGCCTCTGCTCCTTCCCGTCTTCGATCCATAGGCCCCTAGGTCGGATTCTGCTGCAGTCTCCCCCAGTCCTGAGATACTAGGCCTGGACGCCAGCCTGGTTAGCAGCCAGTGGGACGGCGAGCCATCCATCACTGTCTGGCTTCCAGCCAATCAGACGGGCTGTTGACTTTCAGCCAGCCAATGACCAGAAGATGGTTGGGGGTGGGGGTGGTGGCGGAAAGTGGCTCAGTGAGACTATAAAAGGAGGGGAGGGGGAGGATTCAAAGACTGAGACTCTCTAGTTTGCAGTATCCCTCCCATCATCCATCTATCCATCCTGGCTTTAAGGGGTAGCGGGAAATGTGTGGTCTCTTGTTGCCTAGTAGGTGTGGAGTTCAAATTTGATATTGTACAGTCAGGAACCTTGGTTCGTAATACCCAGTGTCCTAAAGTTCCCTGGTGTCCATCTAATGAGGAGAGAGGGGCAGCACTGAACCCTAGCACTCCCATCGATCCCCGCCTCCACTCCTCCAATTGCGACCTTCTCTGGCTCCCACCCAGGGGAGCGGTGGGGAGAGAGAGTCTGGCGGTGGGAGGGACTGTTGGGGAGGACGGGAACGGGACTTAAAAGATAAGGTAGGAAGCCAGGGAATAAGAAAAGGAGAGCGGGAAGGCCAGGGCAGCAACCCGGAATCAGCTAATTTGCCTTTCCCGAAAGTCTGTCTTCTGGTAGTTCACCCGCCCGCCCTCTACATCCACGTCTCCAGTTCTCCTGCTCTCCTTCTTTCGGCCTGGGGACTCCGACCCAATGTCACCCACTAATGAGGTCGTCTAAGGAGAGGACTGGTGCCAGCGGCTAGAGCTCTGGGCAGCCAGCCAGCCCCTCTGGCCTCTGGGCGCCAGGGAGGAGAGGGATGTTGAGGGGGAGATGCGGAGGAATTTCTGACTTCGAAACTTTACGCTTTTTTTTTAAACTCCCAGGAATAGTCGCTTCAGCTCCCCAATGCACCCCGCCCTTCCTCTCTTCTCTCCTCTCCTCCCATTGGATCTTCTCGCTACACTCCCTTTCTCGGCTCTTCCAATCTGCCTAAGGTGGGCGCAAGAGTTTTCCCTGCAGTGCATACCTCCATCACCTGCAACCCGCACCTCCATTCCCCTGCCACCCACGCCTCCTTCCCGTTTTGCCCTGGCCAGGGAAATTTTTGGACCTCCGCAGCTCTCTTCACCCCTAGTTGGCTCTCAGCTCCTTCCATTCCCGCCCTCACTCCGCCCCGCCCTGCTTCATTCCTGTTCTCATAACTCAATTAACTGAATTCTAAGACATTGGCACCGGATGCCAGGAAGGAACTGTGACCCCTGGCTCATCCCCTTACTGTTCCCAGCTCCTCGCCTCTTCTCCACCCCACCCACTTTGGGTCAGTCAGTGTGATCCGGTCCTATTCTCCTGGGAGAAACTCTAACCCCTCCCTGCCTCCAGCAGTCTGGGGTAGGAGGGGATGGGGAGGGAGGTGGCGGAGCCGAGTACTGGCTGGGACAGGATAACCGCCAAGCTATTTTTGCAAAATTCCTTAATTCTCTGTCGCCGCACTACTCTCTTGGCAGCTAGAACCTGAAATCTGAGTTAATTGCATTAGTCTTTCCCCCTTCCACAGTTGTGCACACTTTAGGTCTATTATTTTTAAGACCGGTTAAGCCGGGTCGTATTAGGCAGACTGTAAAGGTGAGGAGGGTAGGTGTGGGGGTAGGGAGGAATGGAATTTCAGCTGCCAACATTGGCTTATTATTTATGATGACCTGGCCACTAAACCCTGCTTGCAACTCCCAGCAACCAGGGTTTAAGTTACCTAGGGTCTCTAGGGAGGTACCCAAGTTGTACCTAGCGGAGGTGGAGGAGTGAGATGGAGGGAGGGGACTGAGAGGCAAATCAGGGAAGAAAGGAGGGGCTGAGACTGCTTTGAAATGCTCCAAGTTGCCCTCCAGGTGGTGCTACAGGATTGCAGATGTCGCCCTGGGGGTGGAGCTAAGCATGAGATTGAAGGCTTAGAACTGGTTTAGTTCTGCCTGGAAAGGGGCGGGACTAGAGACGGAGAACCCAGCACTTCCAAGGAAATGAGCCAATTGGGGCCTGGATGTTAGGCATCCTCAAGAAAGTTCTTAACTTGAATGCAAAGTTTCCAGGTCATGGAAGAAAATAGGAAAACAGATCTCTAGGATCTCCAAACAGGTCTACAGGCACGCTGATAACCTCTAATTTATCTCTTCTACGTCTTTTTTGTACATAGTTGTTGCAAGCTATCTTCACCATTAGACTGGGAGCTTCTCTATGACAGGGACTGTTTTCTACCTTTATACCCCCAGGGCTTGGCACAGTGCTTGGCATGTAATAGGCAATTAGTAAATGCTTTGTTCAACTTCATCTTGAAGAGGAGGAAACTAGAACCCAGAGAGATGACTTGAATTTCCCTTTGGTGGTGCAGATTAAATGGCAGTTAGAATTTGAACCCAGAACCTGTGACTCCAAATCCAGTGATCTTTCAGTGACCCTGAAGAAGGGGGCATGATGGTATCATAGAAGAGGGAGCATAGCACAGGGCACTGAGCACAGGTTTGCATCCTGCCTCTGACATTTACTCTGTCACCCTCTCTAATTTTGTTTCCTCATCTGTAAGATGAGATAATAGTAGCATCACACAGGGTTGTTATGAGGATCAAATGAGATAATATATGGAAAGTGCTGTAAGTGCTGTGTAAACATTAGCTATTATTATATTTCAGAGGGATGCTTGTTCATCTAAGACTAGATCTAGGGGTCCTTTCCAGCTCTGAAGCCCAGATGACTTCAGCCTGTGGTACCTGAGAAAACCCCTGGAATGGAAAGGGTTTTCCATTCCTTTCCAGAATGCTCCTGGGATTATTTTGCTTCCTCCCCATGCACCTGCCCCACCTGAAAACAGGTGTGTTCTCATAATCTGTTTGGATAGGTGTTTGGTCACATATTTGTGGTGGGCAGTCTTCCCTGCTTCCTCCCAACTCTTTCTTGAAGCTGCAAATCTCCCTTTTTCAGCATACTAACACAGTATTGTTGTTCAGTCTTTTCAGTCGTGTCTGACTCTTCATGACCCCTTTTGGGGTTTTCTTGGCACAGATACTGGAGTACTTTGCCATTTCCTTCTCCAGCTCATTTTACAGATGAGAAACTGAAGCAAACAGGGTTAAGTAACTTGCCTAGGGTTATACAGATAGTAAGTATCTGAGGCCAGATTAGAACTAGGAAGATGAGTCTTCCTGACTCCAGGCTCAGCACCCTATGCATGGTACCACCTAGCCCCATAAACACAGTATACCTGTGCACATTTGTGGCTGGTCTGAAGATGATGACTATGTTGAAGAACTCTCTAGAGTCCAGACTAGGGATCATGAAAGGATTGGTGAGAACCAGATAGGGCAAGAAAAGACAAATGATGATGGCTGGTCCAGAGTTGGTAGGAACCTCTGGAGGGTTGGAGAAAAGCAGGAAAAAGTGAGGGACCAAGATCTTCAGTAAAGCTACCCACCGTGTGCTGGCAAACACAACATAGGATCAGCTTCCCTCCTTCCCCTTATTCTCTCATGTTTCACATGATCCATCCTCATAGTCACACACAAACACAAGGTCACGTACCCTGACAGGATGGCACAGGGGCACATATTGCCTAAGCACCAGTCTCATACAGACAGACACACAAAGTGCTGAGTCAGGAGAAATGGGAAACCTCAGCCAGGACACAAAAGTTGTTTTATTGCAGTCCTCAGTGCCTGGTCTCAGGTCCCAGACAGGAGAGAAATTAAGGAGGCAGATCTTGGTTGCCTTGGGGAGCCAGCAGAAGGGATGACTGACTGAACCATGAGGGTGATCTAAAAGTGAAACAGGCTGTGGGGAGTAATGGGTTCCCCAGCACTGGAAGTCTTCAAGTGGAGGCTGGTTGTCCCCCTTCAGGATACTGCAGAGGGAATGCCTGTTTGGATGTCTGGATACAAAGTCCCTTTCAGCTCTGAGATTTTATGACTCAAAGGATAGGGTCCCCTCTGGTCAATGTATCAGAGGTCAAGAACTCAGGGTTCTGCATTAGTATTAGGAGGAGGCCTGGGGAGGGTAAAAGGGAAGGGGACCTTCTTGTCTCTCTGTGTCCTCAGCATTTTACGGAACTGAGGAAATGGTCCTTGGGGCAGGCAGGCAGGTTTGGCTCCTATGGTTTTCACTTTAGTAAAGACCACTTAATTTGCTCCTTGGCAGACTGTAGAACCTATTTAGGTGGGGGTGGTGGGGGGGAAGAGAGAGAGAACAGGAGGAGAGAGAAGGAAAGTTAGTGACCCTATGTACCAAGGACGCTCTGAACTAGGTGAGAGGGTTGCCACAGGGCTGGCACTCAGCCACTAGGTGGCAATAGTATTTCTCTACCTGGCCAGGCGAGGGAGGAGGGAGAGGGAATTTGAGGAGTTCAAACTCTGGCTTTCTAGTCTTGGTCAGGACCTAAAAACTAACACACCCATCCCCAATCCTGCCCGGCAGCCCAAGGTTCTCTGCCATCTGCTGACACGTGGAGAAAGGGAGTGGTGCTCATGTCTCCCCAGCCCCCTCCACTGGCATAGGAAGGCCAGAGGGAGCCAGGTCCCGCCCATGCTGATGCCAGTGCCACGTCCAAGCCCGGAGGTGAAGATAGGAGATAGAGCCCCAGTGTTCACCCCACCCAGGCACCTCTCGGCCCACCTGGGGGACCCAGGGCTAGTCACCAGGGCAGTCTGACTTTATCCTCTGGGGAAGGGTCCCCAAACCCAAGGTGGTACAGCTTGGATGCTGATGGCCCATCCCCACCCCATCCCCCTAGCACACCCAAAGACAAACACTGAGGTATAAAGAACTCAACGTGGCCCTGGGACTTGTGGAGACAGGCCTCTCCTTCCTTATACACACACAAAGATATGCTCAGACACACCTGACAATACCCACCAGCCAGCCGAGCAATTTACATCTCCCTACATAACAAAGCTGTGCTCCCACAGGTCTGGGCAGTGGACATACCCTCCAGCATTGGCCCCAGAGGCATTAACCCTCCCTCACCCTTTACTTTTCTTCTCACTTCTTCAGAGACAGGCACTGAGCCAGAGGCTGAATGTGGGGTTTTCCGGCATGTCCCCACCTGGAACCCAACTCCCTCATTTCAGTCTCTTATCAATCCTTTTCCCAGGGATCCCCCTCACTGAAGGAGCTAGCTCCTCTCCATCCCCTCCTGGTGACAGCTAGTGATCTGGGCATTTGGGAGCTGTGCTAAGTGACCACCTTCTAGCCTTTGTCCACCCCCAAATCTATTGATGAAGCTGGCTCTGCCTAGCTGGAGTGTGAGGAGGGAAGACAAGTAGTGAGCCCAGATAAGCAAGAGCTAGGGTAACCTGTTACAAGCTGCAATAGGAAATGTGGGTACCAAACCTGGAGCCCAGTGCAAGAGACAGAATGAACACGAGCGAGTCCTCTGGCCTCAGTTACCGTTGCAGGGGAAGAATGCCTGTTAGTTAGTGAATGCCTGGAGCAGGGAGCTTCATGCAAACAGGATTAGTCTGGGCAGAAGGGCCTGTGGGGTGGATAAGTAGAGGAAAGACAGACAGATAAGCAGGAAGTTTGTGCAGCTGGAAACCGGGTGGAACCAAAGCTGGGGGAACCTCCCTCCCCACCCCAGGCATGGTCTTACAGAGGATGTGGCAAGTGTGGCTTCTGCTACAGACTGAGTCCTAGAAGAGCCTGGTGTCATGGGTTTAAGGGTGAATGGGAATAAAGAGTTGGTGGGGGGAGGATGGGGAGCAGTATAAATCCTTCTACAGGGTCCAAAAGTCCCTAGCCATAGCCACGAACTCCAAGGAGGAATGGAGAGGAGGGTGGTAAGAAGGTTCTTTTTCCCCTTCTTCAGTCAAAAGGGGAGAAGGGAGTAAAGGCCTCTTATTGGAAGCTTGGAAGGAAGAGATCAACTGATAAGGTCAAGTTCTCATCCTTCTGAGGATCCCCAGGAGTCTTCTGTCGTGTTCTTTCTTCCAGGGACTGTTCATCTTTGCCCCCTCCCTCCTGCAAATTTCTGAGCCTGCCCTTCCTTGCCCTCCCCTTCCTCAAGCTATCCCTTGAAATCCTCTTCCCATCTCAGATTCCAGGTTCCAGGGTGCCTACCTGGGCCACACTCTGCTCAGACAGGCCGCTGTCATCGACCTGTGAAGAAGCAAAGCCAGTGACGGAGGGAGCCGTTAGAAAGAGTGGGGCGTGGTGGGGGACAGGAACACAGGACAGAAGACCAGAGCAGAGGCGCAGGAAAGGGGCCATGGTGGACCGGTGGGGAATGTGGGGGACTCAGGGGCACCTATCTCACACCCAAGAGATAAACCCTGAGATGGCACTGTGGCAACTGGGACCCTGGATTTCTCCTGATGTTTAAGGGAAGGGGTGAGGGAGGAAATCTCATTCTACTATGAAGGAAACTAAACTAAGATGAATGACTTTCAGGGCCAAGGCAACCAGGATTTTAGGATCCTGGAACCTAGAAGAAAGGACCTAAGAGATCATCTAGTCTCACTTTAGATAATATAATTATCCTCCTCCTCCCTTACACAGAGCCTTTGGGCAGCTAGGTGGTGCAGTGGATAGAGAACCAGGCCTGTAGACAGTTACTCATCTTCTGGAGTTCAAATCTGGCCTCAGACACTTCCTAGCTGTGTGACCCTGGGCAAGTCACTTCATCCTGTTTGCCTCAGTTTCCTCATCTGTAAAATGAGCTGGAGAAGGACACTCCAGTATTTCTGCCAAGAAAACCTCAAATGGGGTCACAGAGAATTGGACATGACTGAAAGCAATTGAACAACCACTACAACAACATAGATCCTTAAGCTTTAACACATACTTTTCTCAAACAATCCTCTGAGATGATTAGCAAAAGTATTACCAGTACCATTTTATAGATGGGTAGTGTCAAACTCAAGTAGAAAATGGGGCTATTTAAACATGACAAAACAGGAAAATGATAAATGCTGGAGAAGATGTGGGAAAATTGGAACACTAATACATTGTTGGTGGAGTTGTGAAATGATCCAACCATTTTGGAGAACAATTTGGAACTATGCCCAAAGGGCTACAAAAATGTGCATACCCTTTGATCCAGCAATAGCACTTCTAGGGCTACATCCCAAAGAGATCAAACAAATGGGAAAAGGACCCCACATGTACAAAAATATTCATAGCAGCTCTTTTTGTGGTGTCAAAGAATTGGAAATGGAGAGGATGCCCATCAATTGGGGAATGGCTGAGCAAGTTGTGGTATATGAATGTAATGGAATACTATTATGCTATGAGAAATGATTAACAGGCTGACTTCAGAAAAAACTGGAAAGACTTGTATGGTCTGATGCTGAGTGAAGTGAGCAGAACCAAGAGGACTCTGTACACAATAACAGCTACGTTATGCAGTGACTAATATTGTTAAACTGAACCCTTCTCAGCATTACAAGGATCTAAGACATCTCCGGAGGCCTCGGGACGGAAAATGCTGTCCACATCCAAAGAAAGAACTATGGAAGTCGAATCGCTATCACTCATTTTTACATTCTGTTGAGTTTTGTTTCATCTTTCTGATGGTTCCTCCTATTGGTTTTAATTATTACTTACAACTTCACTAATGTGAAAATAGATTTCATGGGTATGTAAATGTAAAGTCTATATCAGAATGTGCGCCATCTTGGGGAGGGTGGAGGGGGAAGAAGGGGGAGAAAAATTTTCAACTCAAAAACATATGGAAGTGATTGTTGATAAATCAAAATAAATTAATAAAATTTAAAAAAAAGAAAAAAAAGAAAATGGGGCTATTTAGGGGCAGCTAGGATGGAGTACTGGCGCTGGAGTAAGGAAGACCTGAGTTCAAATCTGGCCTTAGACATTAGCTATATAACTCTGGGCAAGTAATTTAACCCTGATTGCCTCCCAAAGAAAAAGAAAAGGTAGCCACTAATCTGTGCATAAGGATCGCTGCAGGCTGCATATGGACTTAGTTTTAAAATGTAACATTATTTACATTTTATTGTATTTTTATTTATTGTGTTAAATATTTCCCAATTACATTTTACTCTGGTTCCTACTCTGGCCTAACGTGACCTAGCAGATGTTTTGATATCTCTGCTGTAGACCCAAATCCGGTGGATTTCCTATTATAACTCACTGCTTTTCTTAGAGGACATGGTTTTTACAACTCTTTGGCAAAGAGTGCTTACTCCCAGTAGTAGGACCAAGTGCTTAGAGATCTAAAGGGGTTGGGGTTAGTGGGTAGTAGCTGTGCCAGGTGGAGGGTTGAGGTCTAAAGAGGCAATGATCTTTCACTTATTACAGCTTCCTCACTTTTCTTTCTAGGAAACTTGCCCTTTTCTCCGTTCAGTTCCTGGCAGTCCCAAATCCAACCAAACCTTGAGGGCTAGGTCAAAGAACAGACAGGTCTCTACAGAATAAGGTCTCTGCAGCCTTCCAGGTATTGGGTACTCCAGTATCCAGTCACAAGAGAAAAAAAAGAAGGAAAGGTGGTTTCCAGCCAACCCTCCCTACTACCCTGTGCCTCAGGCTAGGACAAAGATGGGGAGCAGAGACCCTTACCCTGAAGTTCACTTTCTGAATCACTTGCTGGGGATCATTCTCCAGAATTACACTAAAAATAAAAACAAGATGGAAAGGGTGCAAAATTAGTTATCTTCCCAATTTCCTTTCTACTAAGCATCCGTTGAGACCAGAGACTGACCTGCTTTTCTGTTCGTGTCCTCAGCACTAACACAGTGCTTTGCATGTAAGTTTTTCATAAATATTCTTCCTTTCTCTCTCCCTCTCTTCTATCTTTCTTTCCCCCTTCCCGTCCTTTTTTCCCTCTCTCCCTCCCTTCCTTCCTTTTTTCTTCCTTCCTTCCTCCCTCCCTCCCTCCCTCCCTCCCTCCCTCCCTCCCTTCCTTCCTTCCTTCCTTCCTTCCTTCCTTCCTTCCTTCCTTCCTTCCTTCCTTCCTTCCTTCCTTCCTTCCTTCCTTCTTTGCTTCTCAAAACCCACGTGAACACTGATTATCTCCTGGAAGCCTTCCCTGACTTACTTGGATTGGATTGCCCTTTTCCTTTAAATCCTTCCTCCCACCCCCATCCTGGCCCAGCATTTAGGCCTCCAGTACTACCCAACAGAATTCCATTCATTCAGATCCTATGAATTGGGACCTGGCACTAACAATTCACACACTGTGACTGCCATTGAGTCTCAAATGATAGCTGACTAAGTGCTCTACACACACTAGCTCAATAGGAGAAGTACAGCAATCCTGGCAGTGGTATCTAGGACATTATTATATTATATATTACTAGTAATTGTAGTATCTGGGACACCATTCCCATTTTAATCTTACAGAGGAGGAAACTGAGGCTCAGAGAAGTTAAGGTTCATGGTCCTACAGTCAGTGTCAGAAGCAGGATTTGAATCCAGGTCTTCCTGACTTCAAATTTAGCACCCTATGCTACACTACACTGCCTATAGGGCAGAAATATCACAGTTTTTAGACTAGTGGGTAGAGGGGATCCAATCTCAAATGCATAGCTTTTTAAAGCTACAAAATTAAAAGCTCTTTCATAATTTATGCCTTCAACCTCTATAGGCAGCTAGATAATGCAGTAGATGGAGCATTAGGCCTGGATTTAGGAAGATATGAGTTCAAATCCAGCCTCAGATAATTACTAGTCACTTAATCTCTGTTTGCCTCAGTTTCTTCCACTGTAAAATGGAGAAGAATAATAGGATGGATAGGAGGATAATAATAGTACCTACCTCCCAGGGTTGTTGTGAGGATCAAATGAGATAATTGTTGTAAAATGCTTAGCACAGTGCCTGGCACATAGTAGCAATTGATAAATAGTTATTCCCCTCCCCCACCCCTCAGCCCAGCAATAAACTCCTGTACTTGAAAGGGCTCTGATGTTTAGGGAACATTCTTATATAATTAAGTCCCATTGTGAATTGTAATTTTTTTCATCTATTTTCTTCATTTTACTTATGAGCATCCCACTTTTGTCTTCAGTTTTAACATGCACCATCCTTGAAAGTATGACATGTTTAATAATTTAATTTTTATTTATATTTATTTATGTATAAAATTTATATTTTATTTACATATCAAAAATCATTTTATTTTTGATAATGCCATAATCAAAGGAGGCAGCTTGGTTTCATGGATAGAGAGCTGGCCTCACAGTCAAAAAGACCTGGGTTCAAGTCCTACTTCTAACACATGCTAGTTGTATGGCCCTGGGCCAGTCACTCAATTTTTCAGTTTCACCAGGTGACTCTCTCAAATTATAAAATGTGGAGCAGATGCCATCAGCATTAATCAGGGAATTTCCTCATTTGGAGTGCCCTGTATCTGTGAAATCACTATCTAAAAAACTTAAAGGAGTCAGACAGGCCTTTCTTTTGACATATTCCTAATCACTGAGGTTTTACTCTGTTCATTTATATTAGTTTGAATGTCAGATCTGACACTAGTAGTATGATCTTGGCTGAGTCACCTAACTTATTTGGGTTTCTGTTTTCTCATCTGTGGCACAATGGATATGGAGTCAGGAAGACCTGGGTTCAAGTCTCACTTTAGACACTAGCTGTGTGACCTGGGCAAATAAATTTCTCTGTGCCTCAGTTTCTTCATCTGTAAAATGAAAAGTAAAATATCAGACTCTATGGTGTATAAGGTTTTTTCCAGCTCTAAATTTATGTTCCTGCGATCCCTATGATCTCACAGTGTTGTAAGTGCTTTGTAACCTTAAGACACTATAGTAATATGAGTTATTTTTTTATATAAATGTGAGTCATTGCTATTTGTTTTTACTTTGCTTTATTGTGCTCTTAAATAATTTGTGTAAGGGTTTGTGTGCATTGTGATCATCTTTCTTTTTTTTTCTTTTATCTTTTTTTTGTTTAGGCAACTGAGATTAAGTGACTTGCCCAGGGTCACACAGCTAGTGTCATATGTTTGGTCTGAGGCCAGATTTGAACTCAGGTCCGCCTGACTTCAGGGCTGGTGCTCTATTCACTGTGCCACCTAGCTGCTCTATGTGTCCATCTTTCTATGCAGCTTGGGTGGTACTCTTTTCCCCCATCAGTCTCCTTAAAAGCTGGGAGTGCATCTATTTCCTCTCATAATGCCAAGCCCTGAACTCAGGATTTGGTCTGACAGCAGGGTATCCCCAGTGACCTTTCAGGGAGCTCAGGTAAGTTTCTTTGATTACTCTGTCATGATTTCATAGTAAATCTCCCAAGATATTCCACTCCTACCTGGTAAAACAAACAAACAAACAAACAAGGATTTTCCTAGTGCCAAAGCACCTCATTCTTTCCTGGACATTCTCTTGCAGAGATCTACCTCTTGATCAAATACCCCTCCTATTTTCCCAAGAAAGGCTGGGGCTTCAAGGAGACATTAGCTTTACTCTGCATTGCAGAACTGTCTGGTATTCTCCCTATAGAGACTGAGATTTTTCTCAGGGAGTGAGAAGAGTCTGTGTATAGAGTATTTTATACTGTCTAAAAGGCCAAGGACATTAGTGGCCACTTCCCAATTATCTGAACCAATGTTGGGTGGCCACAATTTAGATAATCCCCGAATAGTAGATAATCCAAAAAGTCATTTTTATTCAATATTCTAGTCTATGTTTTTTCATCAGGTCTAACTCCCTAACTCTGTTTGGGCTTGGCTAATATTAAAATTAGACTGGATTCTCCAAGCTCTCACTAAGTAGTGCAGGAAAGTGAATGGAACCCATGCTGCATATTAGGAAAAAGCTGACCTAGGATTTACAAATAATATGTACTGTGGAAAGTGAAGAATGATCCATATTGGTCTAGTTGCATTTTTAAATCATAATAACTCACATTTCTATAGATTTGGAAGAGGGAGGAGACAGACAAATGATTTTACCTATGTAAGGAGTTCATGGTGGGGAAAGTCCTTCTACCAAAATAGCTTAACAATTTATTGGTAATTGATTATCTTAGGGTTGCTTGGAGCCCTGAGAAGTTAAGTCACTGGCTCATGGCCACCCACTTAGTGTGTGTTAGAAGCAGGAACTAAACCCAGGTCTTTCTGACTTCCAGGTTGGCCCTCTATTCACAGGCTGCCTCTCACGTAGAATTTTAAGTCTACAAAGTATTTTCTTACATTCACACCCTCTGTGAAAGCAGTAGCTCAGACCCTTATCTAGATAGCAATATATGAATGTCCCTGACAATTCCTGTTGAATGTCCACAGTGGCCCTGTTTCCCACCCATCTCCTTCTTACCCGCCATCCACGATCTCGTCCACCACCAAGAAGGCGCCATCCATGTTCTCCACCAATGAACGTTTCTCTATGTTCCTCCTGAAGGTATAACCAGTCATCTGAGCTACCTCCTGCTTCTGGCAGGAGACCATGGAGTCCCCCAACAATTATCCTCTCCCATAAAACACAGAGGTGCTCAGGGGTTGAGGGGGAGTATGGTGGGAAGGAGAATGAGGAACATGTCTAGGTACCCTTGATCCTGTGGTAGGACTTCCGTTAACTACCCTACTCCTCACTCGCCCAAGCCTTCACTTAAGGCTGCAACATCACATTCATCAAGGGACCTAGCTTGGGTCAAAGTCCACGATGGCCACACCTTCTAAATGGCCATGCCCTCATGGGTTAAGGGGGTAGGAATGAGAACTAGAAAAGGAGGGGCCCAGGTTCTCTTTCCAGTTCTGAGGAGGCTGAGGCTGGGGGAGGATAAGAAGAAGGCACCTCCTTGGTATAGAAGGTGTTTAAAGGATGAGAGTTTTCACGGCTCAGGGGAATGGCTCAACCCTGGGGCCATGGGTATCACTTACCGCAATACATGGTTCAGGGAATCAAATAGGCAGGTGAGGACCGACATGAGCATCACCTGGGTGGGATAGCAGGAGGCAGAAAAGAAAAACAGACTGGACCCAGCAAAGCCAAAGAGAGAGTTCAAAAACAATACTAGATGCCTGGGGGTAAGTGGTTTTTCTATTCCCAAGCAGTATTGAGATGGCCCTGAAGTAGGTAGACTTTAGTGGGGAAGTGAATGGCTTCACATCTGAGTGAAGCTGGATCATAGTATGAAAAGAGATCTTGGAGTCTCCTTTTGTTGAGACAAGAAAAGCATGAATGGCTAACAAAGATAAGTCAGGCCTCATTTCACCTGGAGGCAGTAGCATGGATGAGATGAGTTTTCAAGGTCTCTTCTGGATCAAGGATTTTCTTTGGGTGGCAGGCTGGATCACTAGGCCCCATAAAGAAAATCAATACTCCGCCCACCAAATCCTCAGAGTGGTCCCCCCAACCCATCCCAACCCTCTTCCCAGACTTTTCATTGGTCCCCACTGTCTCCCCCAGGCCCTTGTGTTCACCTCATTCTCCTGGGATGAGCCTACCACATACAGGAAAAGGTCGATGCTGCTCTTGTAGACAATGGTCATGCCCCCAAAAAAGGCAATCTCGCCTGGAAAGATGTGAGGAGGGAAGAAAGGGAGGACATTCAGGCTCCCTCTCACTGGCCTCATGCTCCCCCTGCCTTCTAGCCTCTGTTGGCCCAGCCCTGTCTTACTTATTCCCATCTCTGTAGCAACTTGAGATCAGGGACCATCCTTTGTCTTTCTTTGTATCCGAAGTGCTTAGCACAGTGCCTGGCATAAACAGTTATCCCTTCCACACATCACAGGAGTTAGGGGGATGGGGAGCCCCGAGATCTGGAAAATCTGAGTAAAATTTTTAGGCCCTCCCTTCACACCAGAGAAGTCTGAATTTTTTCTTTTTCTTTTGCTGGGTGTTTACAGTACCTTATTGTAAAATTTGGGTTGATATTATACGGTATTAAACATACATTCTATGAACTTCTGAGTTTCTAAACTTTTTCTGTGTCCTCTGCTGGCCTTCAAGTGTTATCTGTGGCTTCCACAAAAGTCCCCAAAAATTCCCATTTAATTTCTTATGCTGACCCTGTGATATAAGAAACCTCGATGGGGAAAACTGCCATGTGGAAGGGAAAACTGTAGTAGGTACTTAATAAATATTTATTAATTGACTGACTGTGCATTTGCCACAACTTCCTTTCTTTTCCTCTGTGGAGTCCAAACATATTTTACTAGGCTGGGTCAGGGAGGCTTTCATGAAGGCAAGGATGCAAGCCTACAGCCTAGAGATATATTATGGGTGCAATCTACCATCTAAAGTTTTCATAGAAAGGAGACTTGACCCATTGAGAGCTAGGCTAAACATAATTTCTGCCCTCAGAGAACTCCAAGCTAGAGGAAGCCAGGAGGGAGAGGAGAATGGAACCCAAGCATTTAGAGGGACAAGGGCAGGCCTCTAGATACTAGTCTTGAGGTAATAAGAAAGCATGGGTGTTGAGTGGGTCAGGAAGGCTTCTATTAAGAAGCAAATGGGAGGGATGTGAGAAGAAGGGCAGAAGGAAGGGAAGGATGGTCAGAGTCAGACAGCTATCACCTCAAGTAAAAGAAATGGCCTGTATGAAGTCTCAGAGGTGGGAAAGGAAGTGCAGAGGAGCCAGGGCCAAATTTTGCCTGGTTGGAGGGCGGAGTTTGGGGATGGGGAGTGAAGCTGAAGTGGGTTAAGTTGGGGTACAACAATGGGAACGCAATCACTTACTGTTGGTCCTATTGGTCTTGTTGAAGACATTTTTCTCAAAGGCTTTCTGCTCCTTTATGGAGGGGAATGTATCATCATAATACTAGAGAAAAGGGAGGAGAAGAGATGACCACAGTGTGGGGTGGTGGGACCTGGACTTTAAATGAATGTGGCTGAGCAGCAGGCTGGACTCTCAGAGCCACCTCCCTGCAAAGTCCCCCCCTCTTATTGCTCCCCAGGTCCCTAGGGTCTGCCTTGAGCAAACACATTCAGCATTGTCCCACCCCATCGAGGCCAATTCCAAACAAAAAGATTATAAAAAGAAAAGTATGTTTTTCAAGCCTGCTAACCGTCTTCTTTTAGAAAGAGCTGGAGGTCAGTCAGCTGATCTAGTTTTCTCTTAACTGTCTGCACATTTGCTTCAAGGCCTTAATATGTCAATTAGACTACATTAGGGGAACAATCACCCCACCGCTAGTCTTCCCGCTGGTTTTGCTTTAGAATTTGTTTAGAGCCATTTTTTTACAGGTATTTGGAGGGGTTTCCTTTCCACTGGTTTTGGTCCAAAAAACCTGGTTTAGCCAGAGTTCTGCCTAATTTAAGGAATTCCTTCTGCAGAGAATTTTTCCAGAGGCAAATCTCACTCAAGTTTTCAGGGTCTGTGATAATTACTGGGGCTTCAAATAGAATGAAGAATAGAACATTCCAGCTCTAGAACCTAGTGTTTGGGGCCCTGCCTCCTACACTTTACTAGTTTCATGACCTTGGGCAAATCACCTCCCCACTTAGTATCCTTATCAGTAAAATGGAGGGGTTGGGCTAGCTGATCTCAAAGGTCCCTTCCAGATCTGATATTTGGTGACAGTGAGCTGCTTTAGCTATTCTGGGAGGGGAAGCTACCCAGTGGGGCACCAGGCTGGGGGCTTTGTACAACATCTGCCTTGCCTTTCTTCAAGGTGGGATGAAGAAGCTGCGGCCTGAGCTTTGGACCACTATCTGATAGCTTAGTATGATGTTTCTGGGAGGACCTGTAGCCTGGAATGCTTGGGATCAGGTGTTCAGTTAATGACCTGGGATGAGGAAAAAACCTTGGCCAAAGAGACCAAAGCTCTATTTTTTTTTTATCAAAGTCAAAGAGACTTGAGCTCTATTTCCCAGCATGCTGTATTATATGAACTTACAATGTCATCTCTAGGTTCACCATTTTTTAACATGGAGATTTGTGTAGTCAGATGATAAATGAAATAACAGTGATGAAAAGCACTTTTTCCAGAAAGGAACCATAGAAAAATGTGTTATTTTCCATGTCTGGATAGAACTTTAAATCCCAGGCCAGTTCAAAGAGATGGGTATAAATCCAGTCTCTGACACTTACTAGCTGTGTGCCACAGACAAGTTATTTCACCTCCTCTGGGCTTCAGTTTCCACTTCTTTAAAATGATGGGGCTATACTAGCTAGACCCTTTCGTCTCTAAATCCTATGACCCTATGATTTGTTCTCAGCTATACAGGACTAGGTATAATTGAGTCTCAATTAACTGTACGCACATCTGACTTGTGGATTTTCTAGGTCAATGGACTAGCTGCCTCTCTCCCTCCCAGAAGAATGGTCTGGGGCATTGTCTGCTTGGGAGTACAAATCCATTTGAATATTATGAAAAGTAAAGTATAGTTTTTTAAAAATCCAAAAATTCACTCCAAACTTCAGAGTGATCAATTTGGAGGTTGTGTACCCTGACAAGTGAGACAACTTAATTACATAATTTTTTTTTTCTAACTAGGTCATGATTCCCCTCCACCAAGAAACACATAATGGAGACTTGATTGAGAGGTAATGTGGCAAGGCAGATAAAGCAGATTAGTGATCAGGAGACCTGAGTTCTAATCCTGCTTCTGCCACTAACTAGCTGTGTGAATTTGGGCAAGTTACCTCCCTCCTCTAGGCCTTTGGTCCCTTGCCTGTCAAATGCAGGGGGATGGACCACATAATTTCTAAACTGCCTTCTAGTTTTGACATTCTGTGATATTATGGTTGTTTGCTAATTTGCAGATAAGGAAGAGAGCTTAGTTGCTAGATTTGGGGCAACTGTGACTCCTGAGTTCCATTTATTTGTGTCCTTACTTCTAAATCCCTAGAAGGCTGAATATGATGTCCCTTCATTTTCTTGGGATCCATCTGGCCAGTGGAAAGGGTAGAGAAAAAGCAGATTCTCCTCAAAGAGATGCTGCAGGGTGAAGACAACTCCTTTCCCATACTACATGCAACCCAAACTAAAAATCTGAAAGTAGCAGGGGGAGTGGACCTCTCATGGAACATATGTTGAGGTACCATGGAAGAGGGTTAGTGTTTTACATCGGTCTGGAGTCCAGGGGGCTCTCATCTTTGGGTTTCTGAGTTGTTATATTCCCAGGGACCTCTCTGATGAGTTGGGGCAGGGGAGGCTTTAGGGAAGAAGAGAGGAAGGGAGTTACCTTGGCCAAAAGCCGATGTCCATCATTATCCAGGATGAAAACTGCTTTGACAGTGTAGAGAGATGGTTCCTGCAACTGACCCCAAGCAAAGGTAGAGTAAGCTGGCTGAGGAAGGAAGTGACCCCCAGACATATTCATCCCATTGACTGAAGAAAGGGATTGTTCAGGCTTCAAGGGATCCCTTCCATGGAGATCCACAGAGTATCTGACTCTGGGAGTCTCCTCACTGCCCCAACACTGAAATCCCCACTGACTCCTCATTTCTGAGGCTGCTGAGTTTCCAGGCAGCTTCTACTCCCTGCCTCAGAGGCCAAGGCCTGCTGCTGGGTGACCCCTTTCCGTGCAGAAGGTCCACCCAAACCCAAGTTCTGTCATGCACTGACTGCTCCAGAGTCTAAGTCGGAGTGTATCACAGAACCTGGGCTGGGGAGACTGACGGGGGTCCTTTTCTGACCCCCCCAGCAGAACCTTCTCCCTACTGATTCCAGAGTTTCAGGATTTGATCCAGGACTGGGATCCACTTTCCCAGAAAGCTTGGGAATGTCAATCAGATGCAGAATCCGACACATCCACAGGGTCGAACTTGGTCAGGAGGAGGGGCAGCTTCCCCTTTCCCCACCCCCACCCTTCATCCTTTATCACGCTGGCCTCCTTGCTTTTCTCTTTCGGGTTCCTAGAGTTGGCATGCCCACCTGAGACTCCCAGAAAGCAATGGGCACTCAGACTTTTTCCTCAGTAGATGAGCCCAGTCGAATTGTTCACTGTGCCCACACCCTGCAACACCATCCCGATCCCAAATCGATCTAGAATCCCAACCAAGCCCCGATCCAGAACCCTCCCCGTGAGTTTGTAACTTTTTTCCTCTCGTACCCTAGAGCCCTTTCCTTACTAGGGCTCGGGACACCACTAGCCCTCCCACCCCTTCTGGCGCTGTCCCACCCCCGCGCCCCAGCCCGGACGACGGCAGTGGCCGAAAGTTCCTGGAGCTGCGCCCTGGCCGCCGCCGCCGCCGCCGCCGCCCCTGAGCTGGGGAAGTTGTGTGAGTTGGCCGCAGCTCCGAACGCTCCCCAGCGCGCAGCGTACCCGCAGCCCCGGGGGCTCCGTGGCCCCAGCGCCCTGCGCCGTTCCCCCCCGGGCTGCCGCCTCTTTCTCCGCGGCGGCCCCCTCCCCTGGGTGCGGACGTGGCCAGGCCTCGGGCCGTTGCATTCCGCTCAGCTCCGCACTGACAGCGCCGCCCGGCTCCGGCCCCGCCTCCGCCGCCCTCCCTCGCGGGGCTGGCCTGGCCCGTCCTGCCCCGCGGAGCGCGAAGCGCAGACAGCAGAACTGAGAAAGCAGAGCTCCTAGCGGCGCAGCCCCCCGAGGGAGGGGACTGCGAGCGATCCAGGCTGGGAGGGAGGAGGGGAGGTAGGCGAGAGCCTCGCCTCGTCCTCTGGTTCCCCCCTCCCGCGTCTCACTATCTCTCTCTCTCTCTCTCTCTCTCTCTCTCTCTCTCTCTCTCTCTCTCTCTCTCTCTCTCTCTCTCTCTCTTCCTCCTCTACTTTTTATTCCCTCTTCCATGCTCTTTTTTCTTTCCTCCCTCTTCTCTCCTTCTCATCTCCCTTTTCTTTTCTTTCCCCATATTCTTCTCTCTTCTCCTTTCTCTCACTACCCTTTTTTCCCTTCAAGACCTGAGTTCAAATGTGGCCTCAGATACTTAACTAGTTGTGTGACTCTAGGCAAATTAGTTATGCTCTGTCTGCTTCAGTTTCCTTAACTGTAAAATGAGGATAATAACATTACCAGCTTCCCAGGATTGTCTTGAGGACTAAACGAGATGATATTTGTAAAGCACTTAGCACTTAGCAGTATGTGTCTAGCCCATATAAGGCACTTAATGCATGCTTGTTTACTTCCTTCCATACTTCTCTTCTCCTTTCTCTTTTCTCTCCTCGATTTTCTTTTTCTTTTCTTCTTTGTTGTCACTCTTCCACTTTTCTTCTCCCTTTCTTGTGTTTCTTTTCTCATTCCTGCTTTTTTTCCTTCTCTTCCCTTTTCAAATTCCTTTAAATTCCCCATATCTGATGTTGATGAGATCACCAAGTATAGAGGGAGAAGAGAAGAAGGGCCAGGACAGAATCCTGAGGGACATCTACAGTTAAAGGGCATGATCTGTAAGATGATCCAGCAATGGAGACAGAAGAGAAGCAGTTAGATAGGTAGGATGAGAATCCAGAGACAGTAGTGTCCTGAAAACCTAGAGAGAATACAGTATGGAGGAGGAGAGAGTGATCAACAGTGGCAAAGACTGCAGAGAGGTCAAGGAGAAAGAAGATTGAGAAAAGGCCATTGGATTTGGCAACTAAGAGATCATTAGTAAGTTTGGAGAGAGCAGTTTCAGTGGAATGATAAAATCAGAAGCCAGATTGTAAGGGGTTAAGTAGAGTATGAGAGGAGAGAAAGTAGAGGCACTATTATAGATGGCTTTTTTGAGGCATTTAGCTACAAAGAGAAGACATACAGGAAGGTGGTTACAGGGAATGGAAGGACAAAGTGAGAGGTTTTTCTCAGAATAAGGAGGACGTGGACATGTTTATAGGCAGTAGGGAAGGAGCCAGTAGACAGGGAGAGACTGAAAATAAGTGAAAGAGTGGGGATAACAAAGGGGGCAATCTATTGGAGGAGATGGGATGGAATGGGATCACTTGGATAAGTAGAGGGTTGGCCTTGGTAAGGAGTGAGGCCACTTCGTCATACGAAATAGGAGTGAAGGAGGAGATGATAATCAAGTCATCTGAGTGATAGGAAATGCGTAAGAGAGGAGAAGAGAAAGCTCATAGCAAATGCCTTCCATTTTTTCTCACTCACACATCCTATTCGTTCTTCTGGGTTTCTGATTCCCACAGGGCACTTACAGAAAGCTGTGGGCAGAACCCATATTTTTGGTCTAGTATCAAGAGTCCAGAAACATGAATTGTCACTTCACAAATTACCAATATCTTGCTCGAAATTGGAAAGAGACTAGTAGTCAAAAAACCCAGCAGTGATCAAATTAAATAGGGAACAACTTTTGGAGACATCTTTTGAAAGTCTTGTAAATACTTCCCATCACAGATTTAGACCAAGAATCATAAAAATCACAGGGACCCTCAAGCTTATTTAGTCCAGCCCTCTTAGTCAACTCAATTGTTCGTACTATAGCAGTAGAGAGAAACAATGACCCTCTTAAACCAGGAATAGAGACACCTCAACTCTCCGAAATAATGGAAATTTATAGTTCTTTTGGTCTGGATCTATAATTTAATTATTAAGGAACCCCAGTATGTAATGCTGACATTAGAGAATATCTACAATTCATTTGTGACTTGGGTTCTTTTGTATATACATGAACATATACATATATATGTGTATATAGTTTATATTATAATAATTTGCAGCTTTACTCTTGCTCCACCCCTGGAAGCTTTTGCTTCTAACAAAAAAAAAAAGGTTAAGCAAAGCCAAGCAACACCATAATCCAGTGTGACTACATGTACAACATTCCACACCCATAGTTTTCCACCTCTCTTACAAAAGAAGGATGGTGGTTGTTATGGTTCAGTCATGTCCAACTCTTACTGACCCCATTTGTGGTTTTCTTGGCAAAGACACTGGAGTGGCTTACCAGTTCCTTCTCTCGCCCATTTTATAGAGGAGGAAACTGAGGCAAACAGGGTTAGGTGACTTGCCCAGAGCTACATAGCTAAGTAAGTATCTGAGAGTGGATTTGAACTCAGGAAAATGAGTTCACTCATCCATTCTATCTACTCAGCAGCTAGAAGGGTTATACTTTTCCTCATCTTTTCTTCAGGCCCATGACTGATCGTGATAATTACTCAATGTATTGATTCAAGTAACTTATATTCTTGGAGAGCTGCCTAGGACCCTGAGAGGTTAAATGAATTGCCCATAATCATGTAGCTTGTACATGTAAAGGACAGGATCTGAGGCCAGGTTTCCTCAAGTTGTCAAGTCAAAAATCATTTATTAAGCAATTACTAAATGCCTGACCTGTGGTGGAATCTTCTGAACTCAGTTGATCTGATCAGCCACAGTCAGACTCACTGTACCTTGACCCCAACATAGTGGGTCATTTGGGTTCTTTTTGAAAACAAAGATCAAAAACCAACGAACCAAATAAGTGAGTGAGTGCTGTGAGATAAATTTTTTTTTTCAAATACAATACCTATCCTTAAGGAGTTAACATTTGAATGGAGGAGATAATGTGTAAACAATAAGATACATAGACTTATATAGATATCTATCTATATATATATCTACATATCTATATGAGAAGAGAGAGAGAAGGAGAGGAGAGAGACAGAGAGAGACAGAGACAGAGATAGACAGAGAGAGAGAGAAAATTTAAGATAATATTGGAGGGAGGGCTCTAACAGTTGGGAATGGGAGGAAGACAGTGAGAGGTCTCTTGCAGAAGGTTGGAATTAGAGATGAGTTTTGAAGGAAGCCAGGAAAGCCAGGAGGATGAGACAAGGAGGAAGAGCATTCCTGGCATGGAGGACAGCCAAAAAAGGACAGAGATGAGAAACTGAGGGTAGTGTTTGAGGGACAAGAAGGCCAGTGTTGCTGGATCACAGAGTACTCACAAGGGAATAAAAATAAAAGAAACTGAAAAGATAAGAAGAGGCAAAGTTGCGAAGGATTTTAAAAGCCAAATGACATTTTATATGTAACTCCAATCCCAAAGCCCATCAGTATGAATAGAGATCAATGTCCTCTGTATCTGTGAAGAAGGGAGGAGATGGAGTGAAGGAGGGTGTGTGTGAGTTGGCCAGAGGGAAAGAGGAGATCTCTTCAGTTTTAATCTGGATCTTCTTTGGGTGTTTCTGGCTTCCATCCTCAAGATGGAATATGGAAGAGGCCAAGCCTACTTCAAGTTGCTGAAGGAAAAGAATCGGGGAAGATGTGAGTGGATCTGACGGTCTCCATCAGGTCCCCATCTCCAGCTTGCTATTCTGTTGTTGTTTGTCCTTTGTTTTCTAAGAGGACCAATGACACCACAGGGTGATGTCTTGACTTGCAGGTGGATTGGATTTAACTGAGGTAGAGATGCACAAAGTTGTCAGCCTTGCTCTTTCTTCCTGAGTCATCAAAATCCAGTAGCAGGACAAAAGTCAAGATGACTGGTGATGGTCCTGGATGCAGTGGACGACCTTGGTGTCTTAGATGCTTGACCAAGCTCTAAGTCCTCCACAGTACCTGCTTCAGCTGCCTTCATGGCCATTGGAACACATCATTCTCATCCACCCATTCTGTACCAGAAAGTCTTCACATGCTTAGTGTAGATATACCTCTAGCTCACCAATGGATTTGAAACCCATCAGTTCCCCTCAATCTGTTTTTCATCCCAGGGTAAGGGTGCTGTGCAAGCTATGGTCTTAGAGCCACAGGTGGACACCAAAGGTAGATGAGAAGCCCTGAAAAGGGCCAAGCAAGCCCTCACACCAGAGGTGCTAGTCCTCCTGAACACTCCATACACCCCAACTTGCTGCTCTGGAGATTTCGGGGAAGTTCCCCTTCAATAAGATCTAGGACTCTCTCTTGGTTGATCTGAGTTACCTTGATCCCAGTGAGAAAGATACTTCACTTAGTATTGCCTGATATATATTCTCCTACGTGTACGTTCTCTGATTTTTGTCTTGCTACCAATTGAGATAAATGATTTTTCTTTGATAATTGCTATGTGTGTTCATTGTAGAACTGGTATTTGGTGGGAGAGGGGTCAAGATTCAGATACAGTGCTTAGGAGCTTGAACCTGAAAACCTCATCCCCTATATTAATAATATTTAAGAAAGTATACTATATTTATAATAGTATATTACATGTTATATAATTATGTGTATTATATATAATAATATAATACATAATAAATATAAATCTATTTGTATATATCTAAATATCTAATTTCTAGCCTTGTACCCTCTCTCTCTCAGGAGAGCAGAGTAGCCAAGCTTCTGGGCCAAACCCCTGCTTCCCTTGCAGGAATTAAGGTCTCCCTTGGAGAAGGATAGGGGGGACAAGAGGCTACAGCTATCTGCTTTGGCTCCCAATGTCCTCATGCTACCTGCAGGGTACAGGTCCTCCTTGCAACACATGGGGTCTTGACACATATATTTGAACCTGGAGGTAATGGGGGCCACTGAAATTTATTGAGTCAGTCACTGGCTTTAAGAAAGTAACTTTAGAAGGCCTCTGTAATATTCCAGGTGGGAGGTATTGAGGGCCCATACTGGGGAGTGCCTTTGGGAGTGGAGGGAAAAGGACTTATG